AACCAATTAGTATGAAGAGGAGGAATGCTTGGGCTAGCAGGAGATCGGGAGAAGTCTATGTAAGTTATCCTATCCTTCTCCATTTCCTTAAAATATCCTCTTACATAATGCTAAATTGATAGATTTTTATCTTTCCAAATGTAGAGCAACCTTAAGAGGCTAGAGGCTCAATCAATGGAGGAAGGAGCTACCCCCATGATTGAGGATCAAAGGTTTGAAGCAATGCTCGGTTCGAAAAAATCAGGATATATACGTGATCATGGGGCTGGTCCAAAGCCCACAACATCTACTGCTGGACAACGTATCCGTGCACAACTAGAGAAGGAGAATGAGGAATTGAAGAGGCAAGCTGAAACAAATAGGATGCGTTGGGAGTCGTTGGAGAGGGAAAATAGTGATTTGGCTTCGTGACTAGAGTCCAATATGCATGTTGAGATACAAACACAGGTGCATGTCGTGCTTCAAACTCAGCTCACCACATTTTTTTGGCAAATGAAAGAGTAGGGGCAAATTCTTACCTCTTTTCATTGTGATAGAGTTAGATCTCTTAAATTGGAAAAGTTCTATTTCATGGGTTAGTAATCTTACTTTTATGGGTTGAACGCTTTATTTACGGTGTTGATCATATTCTTGGTATTGTTTCTGTTTTCTGTTTGATTTACGAAAAATTGAAAATAGAATTCCTGAACTGTTAGAGTCGATCTTTGATGCCTGTTTGCATTTGTCTATGATCAAGTAGACTTGTATGTTTATTTGCATTTGTACATTTTACTTACTCAAGCAGACTGATATGCTCACAATTTCATAAGGCTCTCTGCCTCTGTCACTGGAACACCCTGGTAGATTAGAAATTCTATTGGCTGGTATAATATATTTACATTGAGCAAACCAGTTATACAATCTTAATATATATTTGAATCATCTCCAATATGTCTTCTCTTGATTTTCTTCAATGAATTTCTATTAATATTGGGTAATTTATGTGAGGTACTGATTAACCATTAAAAGTGCTATTTTATTATGTCTAATGATTGGTTAATTGTATATTATTTGTGATTAAATGTGTTAGATTCATTGATTTTCTAATTTGATACTTTTTCTAGTTGTTTGATTTATTTTGCAGGTAAATTGGTTGATTTAAAGTAATAATGAATAAGACAAGTGAATTAATCACTAGAGGAAGAATCATAATTGATAAGAATTGAAGAATCAATATTAAGATAGGAGGATTTGAAGATAAGGTGGCAATGTAATGCTTATAAGAGTTCAGTTAGAAGAAAACTAATTTAAAGTTGGAATAGGAAAGTATCTTAGAAGATAAGAATTTGACACATTTTCAGTATTTTGGTCATAAATTTTGACTCTGATATTAAATTGACCTAATTTTTATGGGATTGGAAAGAAGATTTCAAGGTTTGCAAAAGTATATTTCATAAAAATTTCATGAATCGGCCTTTAAATATGTGAAATTCAAGTTCAAAGTCTGGACAGATTTTATACCCGCGGCCCTAAGATTTTATGCACGGAATTTAATTTCAAAAGACTTCTTTTTGAAAAAGAATTCTTCTCGATCCAACCTTATATCTTCTACCTATACCTAAGAACTTTTTGGAAATGAATTCTTCCAAATCCAACTTTATATCTTTTATTCATGCCTAGGATTTATTTTAGTAGAAATAAAGGTTATCATCTATTGAGAGGATGATTATGATTATTATTCTCTTATCATCTTTCCTTTTTTAGTTTTTGTTCTATTTTTATGACTTGTTAAAAGCCCAACTAAAGATAGAAGAGATACTTTCAATGAAACACGGTATTTATTATTGATACAATATTTTTTTTAATGCATGACTTATTATTTTAATTTAATTCTTGTCTTTTAGTAAAGTTTTTGCTCTATATAATTTCTTAATTCATTATGCCACGAACATCGAATGCTTGAGATTCTCCACAAGTCAAATAACTGGTTATTCCATACTTGAATTAATTAATTAAAATTTCTCATAAGATAGTTGATTTATTATTTGCAATAAAATAAGATTTACCTGTTGGAAAGCTTAATTTATCACAGATTCCGGGCACAGTGAATGCTTCTGATCTACAAATAAATTTTTATATTTATTCAGATAATTTATTAATTATAAATTTGATATTTTTATATTATCACCACTAAATATTTCGATTGAGATTACTTCTCAGCTGATTCTCAATTGAATTTGAAAACTGGATCATTAATAATTACTGTGTGGATTTAAAAGGATATCCCTGATGCTTTAGTAATTTTAATTATTATTTTAAAACCAAATTTATTGTTTTCTAATTTCAAAATCTATAGAACAATTTTTTAAAAACAATTTTCTTTTATTTTTCTTTGTGTTCTAAATTTTCACAATTGCTTGTGGTTTGACCTCGGACTTCCGAGTATTATATTACTTCGCACAACATGCATTTGAGTGATCAATTCTAAAGTTGTAGCAAGTACAAACCAATGGAAGCTCTGAAAACAGCTTTGGAAGGCTCGCCTCCAAATACTAAAGACGAAAGATCTAATAACTTGCCAAAAAACGAATATGTAGTTAAAATTTGATTGTTATGCAATTACTTTCTTTTGAATAAGAATCATTGTCTAGTTGCTAGGATACAATTTGAAAATATGATCATAAATTTTTTTGTTCATTCCTATTTTTTGATGATGACGTATACACGTACAATTTAACGATACTAATATCAAAATATTATTTTCACATGATTTGATTTTAGTATTATACCTTTGAAAGTGAGAGTTTATTATGTTTTTTTTTCATTAGTTGTATGTATATATATATATATTGATTCATTAAAGTATAAAAAGTATGTGAAATTTGAAAATATTAAAAAATAAATTATTTCAAATATGCGATAAGTTTCTTTATTCATTTTAATGTATTAATTAGTAACGACAATAAGTTGTCAAAAAATCATGTTTCAAATTTTAGAGGTGATTTTAATTGTGGGTAAAATATATACTTTTAGTTGCAATTAATTGTTATCACTAAAAGTAAGGTTTTAATTGGACTTTTAGTGGTGATACAATATATTTTATTGGCAAAATTATGTTAACTTACTACAATAATTATGATGGCTAAAAATTTCACATTTAATGACATTTTTCATGGTGCGGCTAAAAATTTTACTTTTAGTGATAACAATTAAATGTCATAGTTAAATAATTTAGCCACACACATATTGCCACAGCTCAGTGACAATTAAAGTATATAGTGATAATTTTTATATATTTAGCTGTAATAATTTATTTGGAAAGCTGCCCTTCTGATTAATAGAAATTTTTAACTTCCGAAAAAAAAAAGTATGATAAAGATAATTCAAGGCTTAACAAATTCAGATTAGATTAGGAGAATGAGATGGACTACATGACTTATTTCCTTATCATACTTATTATCATCGCCCAACCTGCTATTCCAATGAAGCCAAGCAAGGTCTATCCTTGCCTGGTCAGAAGCATAAATAAGCCGTTGCAGGCCAAAAGAAACATGATTCTGAACCCGTCCTGCCTAATATTCTCTGGCCAGTGCAAGATCAAGTCAAGGTCTGGCATGAATAATTAATTAAGAAAAAAATAATAATAATGAAAATCCCTTAAAGGGTTTCTTGAGAAGGGGGCAAAAAGCATCACTTAAATTAATCACAGGGTCACAAGCTGTACTATCGTTGTTCTAATTAATAAGGTAAAAATGCTTCACATAACCTCCAACCAAGAACACACAAACACAAGTACAAGTGTAATTAATTGTCTTAAATCATATATCATCTCGAAGTTGTATTAGTTTGACATTCACAAAAAAATTTCACTGAACGCATTATTTAAAAAAAAAAAAACAGTTCTTTATTCTATGTTTTTTTTTTTTTTTTTTTTACCTCGGAGATATTGTCGTGGAAACAATTGAGTTACAGACTTTTCTTGGACCTGGGAAATATATTGTTGGAGCAAGATGTGTATAGACTTCAGTATCTAGTATCACACCCATGCATGCAACTCTATGAAGGAAGAAAAATTGTTCCCCAGCTTGATTGGAGTATAACTTTGAGGTGCATCTGGTAAACATTGTTTAGTTTAAGAAGTTGCACCACTATATAGAGAATAATGAGATTAGGACTTTGTTTCTTAGAAATTTAGGCTGAGACGTGACAAGAATTTAGTGTCTCTGAAAACAGTAAACTCACCCTCCTCCCTCAAACAATATTGCAAATTAATCTTCTTTTCCCAATGCTTGAACCAGTTAGTGTGTTATGCATTTTGGTGCACCAATTGTGTTTCTATTAGAACTAAGCTAGCTGTTAAGTAATTAATGGCTTAGTTTCAAAAGCTAGAAGAACTTATATAACATAGAGTTTCCATTAAGCTTAGATTGCTCCATTAGGGTTTGTGCTAGCTCAAATATGAAAAAAATACTATAACTGATCCNATAGAGTTTCCATTAAGCTTAGATTGCTCCATTAGGGTTTGTGCTAGCTCAAATATGAAAAAAATACTATAACTGATCCTGTACTTCAGGCAATTACACTTGCATATAATACGAAATTTAATTCTGGAAAAAGAAAAAAAGTACAACCTTTGACAAACTTTTAGTTCAAAACTTGCACTAGACTGTAAGGAAACACACAGAAGATCATCAAGATTCATCATGATAACCCTAACAAAACTAGGGTTACATACACATTCGGAGGCAGAAAACAAAAGATACCCAAAAAAGTCCTCACCGGATTGCAAGTCTCCATTGAACTTCCGACCGTAGATCATCTCTTTCCACATCCACTCTTGCCTTCCAAAATCCAAAGAGAATAGCCACGAACATAGGCCCATGTAAAAATTACCATTTTATATGAGGTACATAAAATGGTCATTTTTGCACTAGTTGTTCTGGAAAGTTTGTCTATGGCACACACACAATCTGTACAAAATCAGCAAACAAACTACATATAAATTCATCGAATGAATTTCTATGGGTTGTGGCCAAGCCGAAGCTCCAAATCCAATTCATCTTCTGCACTTTCTGCATGTGCTGTACCAAACTTCAAACTCAAGCTCATCCGACAATCCTCTCCAAATAGTGACCTCTGTGGGCTGCGATCATGCGAGTTATTATTATGGTTTTGGAACAAGGGCTTTGTATTTGACGTGGATGCCGGAAAATACGTCCGATAATTCATCTGAGCTTCATGAGGTGAAGAATAACGAGGTGGGTAACTTGAAATCGGCTGGTAAAANTCAACCTCTCGGTGATTGCAGATAAATCTATTCAGCAACTGATTTTCTTTGATTTCAATTTTCAGCTTATGTGTGGAGTAATGGAGTTTTATGAATTGCTTTAGTAAGCCCATCTCTCTACTTTGATTTGCTGAATGAAGGTGCTTGTTGATTTGGACTGTGTTGGACTGCTTGTGTATTAATTAATTATAGCTATTGTTATTTCTTATATTGGACTGTGTTGGTTTTTGTTATCTGCCAAGTCACCAAGCAACAAGGTCTTTCACTTTCATGTTTTAGTGGTTAAAAGTCCAGGAGTCTTTTAAGTAATCCTGCATGTTTCGAACTGTTCAATAGTTGTCACCACTATAGCTTGAAACTTGCTTTTAATTATTGAATGCAGAAAATGAGCGAAAGAAACAAGGAGAATCGAGCAAAATAGGACATGGGTCATATTGTAGGGACAAAAAGTTTCACTTGAATTAGTTACAATAGCGCGAGTTATTTTTTAAATGTATATTTCACTTATGTGATTAATTATATTCATGTATACATGCATATTTATGTAAATTTTTTCTATTAATGTTTAATGCATGATAGNTCGAGCAAAACAAGACATTGGTCATATTGCAAGGACGAAGAGTTTTGCTCGAATTAGTTACGATAGCGTGCGTTGTTTTTTATATATGTATTTCACTTATGTGATTAATTATATACAAGTATACATGCATATTTATGTAAATTTTTTCTATTAATGTTTAATGCATGATAGCGTGATCCCGAGACTGGAGAGGAGCCTAACTGTATGGAACTGTGGTTAATAACCAATTAGTATGAAGAGGAGGAATGCTTGGGCTAGCAGGAGATCGGGAGAAGTCTATGTAAGTTATCCTATCCTTCTCCATTTCCTTAAAATATCCTCTTACATAATGCTAAATTGATAGATTTTTATCTTTCCAAATGTAGAGCAACCTTAAGAGGCTAGAGGCTCAATCAATGGAGGAAGGAGCTACCCCCATGATTGAGGATCAAAGGTTTGAAGCAATGCTCGGTTCGAAAAAATCAGGATATATACGTGATCATGGGGCTGGTCCAAAGCCCACAACATCTACTGCTGGACAACGTATCCGTGCACAACTAGAGAAGGAGAATGAGGAATTGAAGAGGCAAGCTGAAACAAATAGGATGCGTTGGGAGTCGTTGGAGAGGGAAAATAGTGATTTGGCTTCGTGACTAGAGTCCAATATGCATGTTGAGATACAAACACAGGTGCATGTCGTGCTTCAAACTCAGCTCACCACATTTTTTTGGCAAATGAAAGAGTAGGGGCAAATTCTTACCTCTTTTCATTGTGATAGAGTTAGATCTCTTAAATTGGAAAAGTTCTATTTCATGGGNCATTTTTTTCGCAAATGAAAGAGTAGGGGCAAATTCTTACCTCTTTTCATTGTAATAGAGTTAGATCTCTTAAATTGGAAAAGTTCTATTTCATGGGTTAGTAATCTTACTTTTATGGGTTGAACGCTTTATTTACGGTGTTGATCATATTCTTGGTATTGTTTCTGTTTTCTGTTTGATTTACGAAAAATTGAAAATGGAATTCCAGAACTGTTAGAGTCAATCTTTGATGCCTGTTTGCATTTGTCTATGATCAAGTAGACTTGTATGCTTATTTGCATTTGTACATTTTACTTACTCAAGCAGACTGATATGCTCACAATTTCATAAGGCTCTCTGCCTCTGTCACTGGAACACCCTGGTAGATTAGAAATTCTATTGGCTGGTATAATATATTTACATTGAGCAAACCAGTTATACAATCTTAATATATATTTGAATCATCTCCAATATGTCTTCTCTTGANCGGTATAATATATTTACATTAAGCAAACTAGTTATACAATCTTAATATATATTTGAATCATCTCCAATATGTCTTCTCTTGATTTTCTTCAATGAATTTCTATTAATATTGGGTAATTTATGTGAGGTACTGATTAACCATTAAAAGTGCTATTTTATTATGTCTAATGATTGGTTAATTGTATATTATTTGTGATTAAATGTGTTAGATTAATTGATTTTCTAGTTTGATACTTTTTCTAATTGTTTGATTTATTTTGCAGGTAAATTGGTTGATTTAAAGTAATAATGAATAAGACAAGTGAATTAATCACTAGAGGAAGAATCATAATTGATAAGAATTGAAGAATCAATATTAAGATAGGAGGATTTGAAGATAAGGTGGCAATGTAATGCTTATAAGAGTTCAGTTAGAAGAAAACTAATTTAAAGTTGGAATAGGAAAGTATCTTAGAAGATAAGAATTTGACATATTTTCAGTTTTTTAGTCATAAATTTTGACTCTGATATTAGATTGACCTGATTTTTATGGGATTGGAAAGAAGATTTCAAGGTTTGCAAAAGTATATTTCACGAAAATTTCATGAATCGGTCTTTAAATATGTGAAATTCAAGTTCAAAGTCTAGACAGATTTTATACCCGCGGCTCTAAGATTTTATGCACGGAATTTAATTTCAAAAGACTTCTTTTTGAAAAAGAATTCTTCCCGATCCAACCTTATATCTTCTACCTATACCTAAGAACTTTTTGGAAATGAATTCTTCCAAATCCAACTTTATATCTTTTATTCATGCCTAGGATTTATTTTAGTAGAAATAAAGGTTATCATCTATTGAGAGGATGATTATGATTATTATTCTCTTATCATCTTTCCTTTTTTAGTTTTTGTTCTATTTTTATGACTTGTTAAAAGCCCAACTAAAGATAGAAGAGATACTTTCAATGAAACACGGTATTTATTATTGATACAATATTTTTTTTAATGCATGACTTATTATTTTAATTTAATTCTTGTCTTTTAGTAAAGTTTTTGCTCTATATAATTTCTTAATTCATTATGCCACGAACATCGAATGCTTGAGATTCTCCACAAGTCAAATAACTGGTTATTCCATACTTGAATTAATTAATTAAAATTTCTCATAAGATAGTTGATTTATTATTTGCAATAAAATAAGATTTACCTGTTGGAAAGCTTAATTTATCACAGATTCCGGGCACAGTGAATGCTTCTGATCTACAAATAAATTTTTATATTTATTCAGATAATTTATTAATTATAAATTTGATATTTTTATATTATCACCACTAAATATTTCGATTGAGATTACTTCTCAGCTGATTCTCAATTGAATTTGAAAACTGGATCATTAATAATTACTGTGTGGATTTAAAAGGATATCCCTGATGCTTTAGTAATTTTAATTATTATTTTAAAACCAAATTTATTGTTTTCTAATTTCAAAATCTATAGAACAATTTTTTAAAAACAATTTTCTTTTATTTTTCTTTGTGTTCTAAATTTTCACAATTGCTTGTGGTTTGACCTCGGACTTCCGAGTATTATATTACTTCGCACAACATGCATTTGAGTGATCAATTCTAAAGTTGTAGCAAGTACAAACCAATGGAAGCTCTGAAAACAGCTTTGGAAGGCTCGCCTCCAAATACTAAAGACGAAAGATCTAATAACTTGCCAAAAAACGAATATGTAGTTAAAATTTGATTGTTATGCAATTACTTTCTTTTGAATAAGAATCATTGTCTAGTTGCTAGGATACAATTTGAAAATATGATCACAAATTTTTTTGTTCATTCCTATTTTTTGATGATAACGTATACACGTACAATTTAACGATACTAATATCAAAATATTATTTTCACATGATTTGATTTTAGTATTATACCTTTGAAAGTGAGAGTTTATTATGATTTTTTTTCATTAGTTGTATGTATATATATATATATATATATATATATATATATATATATATATATTT